GGCTTGCCACTTGAGTCCTTGAGAACTGGAGACTTACAAGGGGTCTTTGGACCACCTGCGTCATCTCGTGAGTCCTTGAAGAACTCCACAAGAAGCAGAGGTTCCAAAATATCAAAGCCAGCTATGAAGCTGTGGCCCTCGTGAGCCGCAAGCGGCTGAAGACCCGAAAACCCCCCCTGGTGTGACAGCATCCAGGGTGAGGGCACCTAGAGAGAGAGAGAGAGAGAGAGAGAGAGACCAGACGCAGACACTGGCGTGGCGCTTGCGCGCGGGGGTACGGGGGGCACCCCTCGACCCCAAACGTCCAGCAAGCAAGCAAGCAAGAGAGAGAGAGAGAGAGAGAGAGAGGGGGGTTTGTTTTGGTGTGTTCCGCTTGCAAGTCCGATGCAGAGGTTGTACTGTAGTGGCTTCTCTCGATCTGGGTTATACTGTGATGGCTTCTTGCGGTCGGGGAACTCTACTCCTTTTCCTTGTCCGATGTTGGCATATACCATCATATACCCAAGAACAACATTTCATTTGTGAGCATAATGTGCTTTAGCTCACAATCTTGGAGATTGAGAGCGGGGGTCACCACTCGCTTGCAAAGCCTGTAACGCCCGGGGAGTCTCGAATGCTCCCGATCGGCCCGGGAGAGAGGGGCTCTTCCGGGCTGGTTTTCTGCCACTGAGCTGTTGAGTCCCTGCTTGGAGGTTCATGGGTAGGGTTATAATTATGGTTACCCTGCTTATAACCCCACTTATAACTACCCATGGACCTCCAAGTGCTTGAGGCCATGATCATGCTGAACCTCTCGCACGCACACAGCGAGCTGGACAGCGTCCAGAACACCGCGGAGGTCATCCGAGGGCATTCATACAGGAGAACCCCAATGCACAACGCATGTGTTCCCATGCTGGATGTGCCAGTTTAGTGACAAAGAGCATAGCGCTCTGCTGCTCGAAGCCGCTGTGCCATCTTCAGATTTCGGGATGCCGGGGTGAATGTCAGCTGGTCTTGGAACTGGTGCATAGGGGCCTGAGGAGAGGGGCTTGTGGTTCTTTTAACTCGAGAGATTCCTAGCATGCTTGTTTCCGATCCTCCTGGCAGTCGTTCTCGATGTGACGGTCGTGGCGGTGGCCGTAGTGGTGGTGAAAGGAGCGTCGCGGAAGAGATGCTGCCTTGGTGATGGTACGGCAGCCCCCCCGTACTGCCATCATCCTTCCGATGGTCGTTGTGTTTTTTTGAGTTTTTGCCGCTGGCACCTGCCTGAGAGGATGATCCAGGCCACCTCTGGGACTCATCAGAGAGACCGGGCCAGAAAGGGCTAGAGCTTACCATGCTCCGAGTTGGAATGGCCTCCCTGAACTTTGCGTCTCGGCTTTTTTTTGCTGTTGACTTGCGGTCGCGGACAGGTGCAAGCGAGGGAGATCAAGGGCCTGAGCCAGGCACTCGAGGGCTTCACAGCGCTGCCGTGCATGGACACCCCTAAGCTTGCAAGTCGTGCCCGAAGCTGGTCAGAACTGGATCTAATGGCTTGGCATCGCCCGTCTTGTCTGCTTGACCTATCAACAGCGAGGACCGTCATCACTTTGCTCCAAACCCGGAACGCTGAACTCTTACTCTCTTTGCACCTTCGGGCTTGAGTTGTGTGAGTGCATCCGCTGACTTCCGGTGCAGGCACACAACCAGCTGTCGGCAGACCTCAGGGAGAAGTCCGTCAGCTGGCCCGGGAACCCGATTCGTGTGGCTTCTTCCATTGCGGTAGGTGTGGCACCGAGGCCCTAAGTCCCGGATTTGGGGTACTTCGGTGCCGTTTTGCAGGCCTTGAGAGTTCGGAAGTCCTGTCCCAGGGCCCGACGGTAGCTGCAAGGCTCGTGAAGCTTGTGTAGATTCTTCGGCCAGGTAGGGCTTCAAGATGTTGGGCACTCCTGCGTAGACCTTCCATACACACCTCGAGCCCCGGAGTAAGGGTAAAACTGCAGGGTGCCTGGAGTATCTAGCTTTCCGACTTTCAGAGATCCCAAGCGCAAGCTACAGTTCGAAGCATGCAGCCCTCCCACAGGGCAGAGCTTGCAGCAAACGTGGACAAGCAGAAGGCCACTTGGATGCAACGTCGAGCTTTGTCGAGCCGGGCACGTGGGCAGCGATCTCGAGGGGATGATCGAGCAGCAGGAGCAGCGCATCGCGATCGTGAGCGAACAAGAGCCGGATTCCTGGATTCCTAGAGCTTTTGGACTGCCTTTTGGAGTTCGGCGCGGTGGTGGGTGTCAGGGCTGTTTCTTCCAGCTTGAAGCCCATAGCTGACAGTGGTTTTGTATGTTGGATTTACTGGCATTTTGGTGGCAGGTGGAGGTGGTCGCGGATCATCTGGAATCGTTTGCCGGCCTTTAGTTCTACCAGTAGTTCTTTTTTGTTAATGCTGCGTTGGCATGAGTGCCGAAGCACTCTGGAAACTCTGTATCAAGGGTGTGGTCGTAAGCCCCGGGCCGTCGTACCAGTCCCTGCTTGGCAGTCCACTTCGAGACTCGAGATCTGGGAGTTTGCCCCCCAATTCCGGATGTGTAGGCATGCGTCGGTTTTGGGTTATCTTAGTTACATTACTTCATGATTACTACTACTGGTGTTCTCATTACAACGACCATTATTCTTGTTATTATCATTTTCACTACTACTCTTTATTGTTGCTATTGACACAGATGTGTATATGTTTATGGGAACGAGAGCCAGACCAGCCGAAAGCAGAGGGGATCATGCTTCCGAGCTCTCGGTCACATCGGGGAGGCAGGGAGCAGAAGCTTCTGCGGTATTGGGGGTTTCCGAAAATTAGGGGTACCTTATTTTGGGGTCCTTATAATAAGGATCCTACTATTTAGGGTACTATATTAGGGTCCCCTATTTTCTGAAACCCCCGGTATCCCTCCGATCCAGAGCGGGATCGCAAATCCGAAGCTGCAACGAGACTAACAGCTCTAAAGCTGTGGACCTGCTCGTCCCTGGAGCCATAGACGCTCTAGGTTCGCCAGGTTTTATTTGCTAATGTGGGGCGATCCGGCATGGTCCCAAGTCCGTGAACTGAGGCTGCTACTACCACGGGGACGTTTGACCTGCGTGGAAATTATAGTCCATCCCGTTAGGAAAATGCCGGGAGACTTGCCTGCCTTGGAATGGCAGCTTGAGAACAGACGTGGGAACTAGCCACGCAACGAACCCCTCGAGCCCACAACCTATCTCGTTGACCTGTGAGGCAAGCGCCGTCAATGTGGCCCAAACTGCGGCACTGTTTTATAATTGCATACTTGACCCTTGCATTTCCGGCGTCCCGTATGGCAGCCTGACTTAATACTTGTCTGACCGTCGTAGACATCCCCATCTTGACCAAGGTGTGAGTGTCGAAACTTCAAACGCTACGCCGCTGACCAAACCTGAACCCCTAGAGACCCAAACTGCCAATGCTTGTCGAAGTATCTGCTGGCATGGCAACAGCGTGCGGACCCACATGTCCCTGTTTTGGAGGGATGGTTGGTGGGGAGGCGTCAGGTGGAAGTTGGAGTAGTGCTTGGGCTGTGGGAGACTGAAGTGATTCAAAGTCGTCGAAGCTGTTCCAATGCGGCCAGTTGCTACTTGTGGTCAACATGCATGCTGTGAATCGGATCCCCTGCTGGCCGAGTGGGATCTGCAAAAAAAAAACCCAAAACACCTACACCTGTACGGCCCGTAATCACCTGGTCACCGATCCACCCTAGAATCTCTAACCCACCTTTTTCTTGTTTTACAAAAGGGGGTTTCCGAAAATAGGGGACCCTAATATAGTACCCTAAATAATAGGATCCCTATTATAAGGACCCCCAAATATATGGTACCCCTAACTTTCGGAAACTCCCTTTAAAACAGGGAGGAGACTTTTCCCTCCAGGCGGAAGTCCCGATCCGAGCTGCAACAAGCCCGGTCGGGCCTCGACGAGCTCTGGCGCAAGGTGCCCGGTCGTTGTGGGGGGAGGGGGGGCGCTGGTGGTCTTTTCGCACTTTGTAGGCTTGCTTGATGGGATATGGACACGGAGACCTGGATGCAAAGCCTGAGCTAAACGCAAAGCACAGACCGTCGGGCCGTCGGAGCCAGCTGAAGACTTGAGTTTGAGGCTGCCATAGTTTGATCCGGGTTGCGTCCTTAGCCGTAGCCTGCGACCGAAGGATGACCCCTGACCCTGAAACCAAGGAGTGAAGAGGTGTACTGTCGCTACAGGCTGCCTGCCGAAACGTGCCCACGTCAAATAAACGGTTAAGGCACATTCTGCCTCCGCCTCCAAATTAAATCCCTGACCTGTCGTCCACAAAGCCCGTTGCCGGAACCAGAACCGACTCCCAAATTTCTCGGGCTACCGCCAAACAGGCTCTTTGTGGCCCCCTGCCTCCTCACAAAAGCCTCGGAACACCCCTGCGAAACTCACAATAGTTGTCATCATTGCTACAACTTTATCGTTGCTATTATCGCATCTTCCACATACTCTTAACCAAGTTCGAAACCCTGACACCCCCACCTTAGCACCGTCGAGAACGGCCCGTACGATGTCCAGCTATTGCTGTTGTCCTTATCATCGTTGTCCTAGTGGAGGAAATGTGAGTGTTGCTGTTGTTGTTGCTGCCAGGCATAACTCTTTCAAGCAGCTACTCGTACGGAATTGAAGGCTCGAATGCCGGACACCTCAATCTGTCCAGACCAGAAATCTTTGTCGCACCAACTCCAGGGGTCGTCTATCTGAAAAGCAGGAAATCTTGCACTCTGACATGCCAACGGTTCGGGGATTTGGAACCCCCAGCTCAACCCGACCCGCCAAGAATTGAGTATCTCGAAATAAATAACAAGAGCACCAGACCATTCAATCCCCAGTGGTCGAAGCCCTCCAGCACTTAAAACATGCAAGCCCCTCCACCCCCAACCCCTCAACCCTAAACCCTCAAGCCCTGGACCGTCCCCCCCCCAAAAAAAAACAACTTCCCATAAACCCAAAACCTGCCGCGGCCATGGCTCTGCGAGCACCCGGCGCCCTCGCCGAGCCCGGGGACCTACGCAAGAGCGTGGTGAAGGCATGGCTTCTTCTTGACCTTCTCTGGAGTTTGAAAGGGCTTGGAGGGCGCAGTTTGCCTGCAGGGTTATGGAGGTTCCAGTGCTTTGAGGTTTTGGGGTTAACTGAAGCGCCGTCGTCGGGTTCGGAAAGGGTTCCTTAAAGGGTCTGTAGGAGGCTTTCATAAGCGCCTGCAAAGGCTTTGGACGGTTCTACAAGAATTTGTAGGAGCCGTAGAAGGGTTCTTTCAGGAACCATGAAGGCATCAGAGGAGCTCGGCAAGGGTTCAAAGGATCGGTTAAAGGGTGCTCTAAAAGCTCAAAATCGAGGAGACGCAGGCTCGGTGCTTCCTGTGCTCTTAGAGCTTCTTGGGCTTCAGGTTCTGGCTCACTTAGCTGCGAGCCTCTCTCCTACCTCAGCCTAAGGCCTAAGTGAAAGGACTCCGGGTGCGCAGTCTGACCCCTGCAGGTCTTCGTCAGATCTGCACACGCAAACTGGACCTCTCCGTGGCAGCATCTTGGTTCACACCGCACTGCGAGTTGCAGCCGGGGCACAAACGGAGCGGCCGGGTGAGCCGCGAATGCTTTAGCTCTCTTTAGGTTGGAACGATAACTTGATGACCATCTCATCAGGAGTCGCCGAAAACGATCCGAGGATAACCTCAGACCCCACCTGGGAAGCAGCTTCACGATCGGAATGGCTAGAGCGAGTAAAAAGATCGATGGGGTCCTGGACCATAGCATGCAGCAGCCGTGAGCCGCGCTGTCAGTCTATGCGTGGCCCCAGAATGCTCTGACTTCAAACCTCCTCGGCTTTTCTTCAGCTGCACAGTCATTCGCACTCATGTCTGGCAAGGAAAGGTTGTAAATGGGGTGCCAGATACCCTCATGCTACCAGCTACAGGCCCCGAAAGCCCTAAACTTTGAAACCCCCCCGATGTCCTCCATCCAAGGACCCAGTCACAGACCTCTTCAACCGGATCTGGCCCCTTGCACGCTTGGGTCGATTCTTCGGACCTCCGGGGAGCTTTGAAGTGCAAGGCTCCGGGGGTCCAGGCCTGCTCTTTGAAACGCTTGCAGCTCAGACACCTTGGATCGAACTCCGAAGCCCTCGAAGCGCAAACTTCGCAGGACCCTCCCCCCCCAATTTCAAGCCCCGAAGCGGTGAAACTCTTCAAACTGAGCCCAGGCTTCTGCATCGATGCGTCCCGTCAGCAGGTGCTGACCAATGCCCACGTCGTCAGCCACGCGGTGGCCCGGCCGCGAAGAGCACAGCAGTGCCCACGTTCGATCGGGCTCTTTGCGTCGGGAAGCCTTGCAAACACTGTTTCCCGGGTCCCCAAAAAGCATGCCCTAGAAGCTCGAAGCAACAGGCACGGATTCACCGGTAAGATCAACTAAGAGATGGTGATACAACTGCTTCTTCGAGGTGGTCGTGCGTGTGCGCCGCTATGGGCAGGCCGTCAGCTACCCTGCCAGTGCCCTGTCCGAGTTGCCTCCGGGATTCACGCTCTTTTCGGGGTGAGAAGCAACCACGAACCAACCACTCGCATCACTCTTTATTTCCATGGAAGGACAGGTTTAAAGCTGTGTGACGCCGTCAATAAGGGATTAAGGGGCTTGTGGTATTTAGGTTTGTGGGGGTAGTTCCTTGTGGTCTAGATTTGCTTTCATGTAGCGGCTTCGTTGCTAGGGTGGGCGGACGGCAAAGGAACAGAAGCAGGGGGATCGGAGTTGAGTAGCACGAGAATACTTGTCATGGAGGAGGGCGCGTGCACGATTGTAATCACGGGGGGGCCAAGATGAGGAAGAGGAAGGAAAACGCACACCACGGTGGATTCCACAGTATCACTAGCCTGCGGGCATTTCCTTCATCTTTCACAGCCCAAGCGGCGCAAGGTGTACTTTGTTCGTCTCCGCAATGCGACCTTGCCGTGCTGGAGGTGTCGCAGTTTCTGTCCGAAGGTTTCTTGAGGGGCTTTCATGGGGTGCACCTGGGATTAGTAAATTAGCGTGGCTGCAGGGAAGGTTTGTAAGGTCGCTTCGGGTGCAACCTTGCATGCTGCTGGCCCGCTCCCATACGGGATTGTGATTCTTTCTTCTGTTGGACCTCTGAGTTCTGGACCAGTTGTGTGCAGTCCTGTAAACTGGGACATTTCCGGGACATCGAAAAGATGACTGCGACAACCGCAGATAGATTTTGTGGTTTTTCGATGTCCGGCCGAATTCTTTGGATGTAGGGGACGCCGGGACAGGACGGGACGGGGCGGGACGGCGAGCCATGGAGCGCTTTCGATGTCCTCGCTCAATGATTTTAAGGTCGTTTTTGGATGTCTGGGCGAGAATGCGTCTTATCAAGTCGTGCCGGAGCGTTGTAACTCTAGCTGGATGTAGGGTGCTGGCTTGCCCGGAGTCGTGAGCTTTGGAATCCTCGTCACAGCGCCCCAAACCAGATTTTGCGCGTAACCTTTAATTTTGTTGGTAGCCGCCAGGGCACACTGGTCCGTACAGCTGTGTGTCGGTGTTTTAGCGACTGTTGTGGCAGAGTGATTCGGTTGTACTCGGTCCCAATCAGGACGTAACTCAGGCACCTCGTGCCGCTGCCATGACAGTTTTCGCCGTCATCTCATTATTTCCTCTCCAGACGATAGGTCAGGGATGGTCCAGGAGCTCCCGTGGCTGTGAAGGGTGTCGAATTGAAGTCCGTATTACAATTACAATCTCACCAAGAAGTGCTTACAGTAGCTGACATAAGCCGAAGCCCAAAATGCGCAGCCTTCCTGCAATCTCGAAGCTTCAAAATTGCTGCAATAGAAGCTCCTGAAGCCTTCCCAGCTTGCCCTGAAGGTCACTGACTCTGGCTTCTGGGAGGCCGTGTAGTCTGACTGTAGCTTTTTAAGGAGTCCACGGCAGCTTCGTGGAACATGCTCGTTGGGATTGTCATGCCGGCAATCTTACGCGTGTAAAAGGAAACTGGCGTACGTTCTGAATCTGCACATGAACTGTCTATGCATAGCTGTACATATCGGTTGTGCGTGTGTGGTTCCATCAAACGTGACAAACACTAAGTGCCTGCTTGTCGAGTATACAGGTTTGAGTTACAACATAGGAGAACAAGTGCGCTAGCTGAAGGAAGTTTCCCTAGCACGGCTGAAACAAGCAGTTCATGCCTCCCGATGAAATTGCAATTCATAGCTCCCAAAGCAATGCAGCTACATCCGATTACGCAACAGATCATGCTGTTGCGACAGGGCCTTGGCGCCATCGAGCTCTCCGAAGAGATCCCACCCCTCGATGCCGATGTTCTCACCGTGGGCCCCTGCGGCCTTAAGTTGATTTCCCTTCTTTTCGAGTTGCAGGGCTGGACGTCGATGGTTCTGTGGCGATGGTGACTTGCTTGGTAGGCGAGACTGGCGCGAGGACGTTCAATTCGAAGGAGCCCCACGCTCCCCCGAATTCTGGAGTACTGAGGATATCCTATGGGGGGCGAGAACATCTGCGTGACGCGGGGCGTGGTGTCACGCATCGACCTGATGGACTACACCTTCTCTCCCATAGGCCGGCCTTAGGGCGAGGAGTGTACAGGTTCCCCGCATTTTCCGGTGTCATTCAGGGTTTTCTCGAGACTTTGGCTTAACAATGCCTTGAAAGCTTCGGCGAGGGTGAATCGGCAGAGCCTCCTTCCGAAGCGTGAGAGTTGGGATATTTTGGGATCCAGCCGGATGCCCTAAACTCCCGGAGATCTGGGTTGGGAAGCGGCATCGTCGTAAAAGCGTTCGAACTTAGAGTTGAACGAATTGAAACACTTGGGGATGGCGGCCGGGTTTCGACAGTCTGCTTGGGTTGGGACTGCAATGCAACAAACCCTTCCACAGACACGACTGACTCGTGCTTGCTCCTACTCCTACTTCTACTCTTTCAACTCATACTACTACCCTGCTGCCACTCAACTACTGCTGCTGCTGCGACACTGCAACTACTGCCGCTACTGCCACAAGCATCACCACCGCCATTATACGGGGTGGCATGTGTCTGCAAAGGCGGTGAGCGGCAGCTGGTGATCCAGGCAGCCGTTTGTGTCGGCTCGGGCTTCTTGCAACGTGTGATATACTGTGAACTGATATGGATATAAATTGAAATGCCTTTTCTGTCAACGTACTTTGTTACGACGGCGAGCAAACAACCCGCCCAACAAGGACACCCTAGAGGAACATAGGGGTGCACAAATGCAGCCTGGTGAACACCTAAAGCACTGGATGATCGCAAAAGCCCAATGGTAAACGGACGAGGTTTTGATGATAAGCGCACCTACATGAGTCAAGCAGTTTGCACTTGCGCGACAGACTAAAGTGTAAGCAGATCAACCAACAAACATAAGAAGAACACATGTAGGTATGTCGGCATGTAGGTATGATTAGGTATGAGTTTAGGCAGGCAAGCGGGTAGGCAGGCAGGGAGGCAGGCAGGCAGGCAGGCATACAGGCAGCCAGGTAGGTAGGTATGACGAATGTATGTATGTATGCATGTATGTATGTATGTATGTATGTATGTATGTATGTCCGTACGTCAGGAAATATGCAGGAACCAATGTATTCGATGGACATAGGCCACACACGTATATGATTTTGTTACTTTTGTTGTTCATATTTGGACGCTACCTGATACTTGCATGCCTGCCTGCTTCCTGCCGGCCGACCGACAGAAAGACACACATACACGTCCCCGTGGTCGTGCAGACTTTGCATGAACATGCATGTGACATGTGTGTTTCCTCGTGTATGTGTAGTTATCATTGGCGATCATTCTTTTATCAACTCTAGTTTATGTAGCTACCTACCTGTTCACTTGTCGGTCTTGCACTGTCTCCACACATCGTTACATAGAAGCATACGTGCTTTGGCCGTTCCGTTCTGTGTATCCAAAGAAGACGTCTTGTTAATTAGGTAATGTACTGCAAGAATCTTGAGACCATGTCAGCACAAGAGTTTCAACAGGATGTTGTTTTCTACAGGATGTTGCATCGTCGTTGAAAACATGGTGCATCCGAATACGTAGCTGTTGTAGGACCTTGTTACAGATTGCAAGGATGGGAGTTCGGTTCTTTGGGTTTTCGACCGTAAGCCATACCTTCAGATCCAGCGCAGGTCGACGCGGCAATCAATCCTGGAAACTCCGGAGGCCACCTACGGGCATAGCTCTTCAATGAAGTTCTGTGTGTCTGGAGGCAGCATCACCATGATCGCTAGCACCATCGCCTACTTGGCCATCAACAGGATAGTCATCACCATCATCACCATCATGATGATGATGATTATCATCGCATTCTGCAGCGTCACCTTTGAGGTTACAGTTTTCGTAGTTATCTTCCTTTCGCTGACACTTTCCCCACTTCTTGACTATACGTCGCTTCCCTTGTCTTGTCAGCGTCGTCATCACCAATTTCGTCCTAACTTGTTTCAACTATAAGCACCCCCTCCCCATCGCGTCATCATCAGCATCACGACTACCTTGCCGCCGCCAAGGCCATCACATAGTTCGGGGAAATACTGTTACTCTGTTGTGCCATATTGAGCAGTTGTTTGTATACGATCGCGGTGCTACGGTGGCCCATCTTGTAAACAGCATTTCAACAATCACAGTTCTTGCTTCTTGGTGTTCTTCAATCCTGCCTCTGTGCCGTGCGAATGCATGTGCACCATATTTGCCGAAAATTTTCGGCACTTGCAAGAGATCTGTGGGTCTGGGCTGCTCCTGTTTCTAGCTGTCGACCACTGTCGACCACCAAGATCCGAGCCACCCTAAACAAGTCTATGAGAAAGGATAACCTGGATTTGGAATACAACATCCGTGTAAACGCCGAAGAAAGTTGACCGATTCTTTATGGTGTTGAAGCCTTAATCTGAACACCAACAAAGGCTTTCAGGTGGGTTGGGGGACCCAGTCCCTTTCCACAAAGTGGATTTCCGCAGTTGCCAGGAGTAAAGGTCGGAAACAGGGGTTCAAAAAAGCACTGCGTGGAGCCTTGCCCTTATAGTCGAAAAATCCCAACTAGGTGGTGTTTCTCGCCCGAATGTTGTCGAGAGCGAGTGCCAAAAAGTCAAAGTCCCCCACCCTCCCACCCTTTCAGCAGGCCCGGTGCTGGATGCGCAGGGCAGGGCCGCAGCTCTGGTACAAAGTGGGGTTTGTTTCAGGCGTCCGTTGAGAAGCCCTGAACCCTGCTTGAAAACTCCCTAACCCTAAATCCCTATCCCTAAACCCGGGCACGAAGCCGTTTCAGTTCAGGAGATTCTCTGCTTTATTTGGGAGCTTACGTGGTCTTTGTGGCTGTCAGTGCCTCCTGAAAGGGGGACGGCTAAAGGCTGAGAAGTTCTTGGGGCAACGGAGGCGTGCATCTTGAAGAGAGGTAGCAGCATGTAGCAGCCCCATTCGATAGATCGTGGCACTGTCGTCAATACGGCTGCCAAAGCTGATCAAGTTAACACCTTGAAATTGGCAAACTGAAAACTAGCGCGCATAAGAGAACCGGCTTCATGACCATCGTATTCATCGTTTTCAGTGTCACCCCTTTCTGCCTTCACCGATACGAACCGACAAGACTGAGAGTACATGAATAGAACTTATATGGGTAGTTCTCTAAATTTCGGTCCTTTCTAGGGCCCCAATATAGTACGGCACCCTTATAAAAAGGACCCCCAAAGGGACCCTAATTTAGAGAACTACCCAAAGGACAGTGACCAGAGTGGCCGCTTCGAGGTCGGCGTTGCATTCGCCGGGCTGCGTGCCAGCGCCAACATCGGTGTCTCTGATGAAACAAGGGCTGGACTGAGATTCATCTAGGAAACTCTGCTGGAGAAGAACATGAGCAGGCTTGGAAAGTCTTTCAGTTCTTCTCGTGGAGTGCTAGGTGTTACTGGCTTTGCGGTTTCGGCAGATCTTGGCTGCCTATTTGGCGTTATGGAAAGCTCTTTAATTTTCGAAGGTTTGTTGAAGCAAGACTTGTGCTTGATTTCATTCCCTTTCGCATTCTCCTCCCTCCGCGGCTCCGTGCCCAACCAATCGACAGTCGTTGTGATCTGCAGCATCACGTCCATCATCGTGCTGATCTCATCCCAAGAGTCGCAGAAGCTACCCTCCCAACCGTGTTATACTTCGAGGCTACGTGATTCCCGGTGCCGTGGTGCATTTCTTCCTTCGCAGCCTTCGTGGGACGCCCGTGGGCTTGGCAAAGGCAGGGAAGAGACGCGCAATCCTGTATTTTTTGATGTTCCCCTTTCAACATACACGCTTGTTTTTGAGGCTGTGCTTGAACTCTGCACGAGGCACGAGGTTGCAAATGCGAGCCTGTCATTCGGATTTTCATTCCCAGGCCCTGGCGAGCACAGGGCCCGAACTTGTGCATCCCAACCCTAATGGCCCTAATCCAGATTCCCTTATTGCCCCCAAGGTTCCAAACTCCCACAAGCCGACAGAGCTCAAACCCTGATCCTGGCACCGCTCAAGACCCACATGCCACAAGTTCTGATAAAAACAAACAAAGGCACCTGGCAGGATGCCTCTATAATTATGGTATCATAAACCCCGCAGGCTCTGTGGTAACCATGTTTGGCCTCTACGCGAATTTAGGGGATGTTTAGGGATGCGTGTTGTCACGAAAGCTCGCGTAGCAGA